AATTTCTTTGTCGTCAATGCTCTTTTCTCTTTCCTCCTTCACCAAATTTTGCTACTCTTCTATCATTTTCTCAACTTCTCATCCTTTCCAAACCATCTATCGCTTACCATCGACTCTAAGACTTTCCTATGCAGGATGAGTCAATATCACATGATATCAATTTGCTCATTTAAAGGTGCCTTAATCGATCAAGACATACAAATTGCAATTCTAATCCTTTTGATGGTGTGGATGAAGCAAAAAAGTATACAAAATCTTAATCTCTTAATAAAGTTCGATGGTGTTGTTGAACAATTTGTTGTCTTTAACTTTTGACTTTTGTCATCATCACAATTATCATTTTTGTTGATTACATTTTTTTAATTCATGAGCGAGGGAATATATTTCTTTTTTGTAATGTAATTAAGCAATCTACTTCCTTGCTATTTTTTTTATTTTATTTCTAGCAACATAGTTATATTTTTAATTTTTTAGGCTTCTATGTGCATAGAAAAGAAATATATTCCATCAAGTTAAACATACAAAAGAAATAAAGTAATAATAAATTATATTTTACAGAGTGCAATATGCCATTTTTGACAGCTTGATAGGCTAGACAAGTCAGGCCAAGCGTTGTATTTTTAAAAAACAAGTCAAGCTAAGCTTGTAATTTGGCTTGTATAAGGCTAACAAGCCAAGTCACGTTATCACTTATCAAACATTTCTTTCCTTTACAAATTTAACATTAAAATCATTAGACAAATGTAAATTTTAAAAAAAATTCCATCAAGTTAAACATACAAAAGAAATAAAATAATCATAAATTATATTTTACAGAGTGCAATGCGCCATTTTTGACAGCTTGGTAGGCTTAGGCTGGACAAGTCAGGCCAAACATTGTATTTTTAAAAAACAAGTCAAGCTACATTTAGTTGTTAATTGATATGCACCATTCCTAGTGGGGATCGAACCCTGATCATGGAGATAAAAGTCATAGTACTTACCACTAAGCTATATTAGATTGTTAGTTAATTTGCACAATTTAAAATATTTATTATATAATTGAGTGTAAAATATAAATTTATAACATATTCGGGTCATGCGGTTCAACTAATTACCCACTGATCTGGTATCCCAACCGAGTTGATGACTGGTTCAGATTTAATAACATTGGTAGAGAGGAGTAGAAGAAAGGTTAGTATGAGTATGGATGGAGTTAGGGGTGTTAACGGGTCTAGTCGAGCTGAACTTTGGTCTTAAAAGGCTAAACCTGTGTTTACATGTGTCAGCCTGACCTAGCCTGTTATCTGTTATGAATATAATTATCTGCCTATGACCTGACTTATTTATAAAAAAAATAAAAGTCTGGGTTAGCCTGTTAAAAAAAAAAAGATAACATAAATTTATCCAAATAAAATATACGATCAACAACACTAATAATTTCATAAAGATTTATAAATTTAATGTATATCCAAATAACTTAATATAGAACAAAATTATTCAAAAAATATGTTTAACTAATAAAATAGAGTGAAAAAATAAAAGTTAGTATACTAGGCCCGCCTAAAAGGCTCTAAGGCCGGACTTTTGAATTGGTTATTAAACGAATTTTTATATAAGTGTAAGTCTAGTTCCAACAATTAATTTTAGATATATAAGTCTAAGAGCTTTACGAGTCGAGTCAAAAATACTTAATTCGTTTAGCATCGCTAGATGGAGTGTTTGGTTTATGGATGAGTACAAGGACAATATTTTTTTATTATCTGAGTTTTATTTTTAATTTTTAATGTTATAAATATAAATTTTTAAAAAAAATAAAAATAAAAAAATCTAGTTTACAGAACGCGTAGAAGACCATAATTATGCTTGACCAAGAGATGAGAAGGAAGCTTAGAAGGAAAATGGTTGGAGTATTGGGTTTGGGTCTGGAAATTCAATCAACCAATTGAAAGTGACACGGTAATGACAATGATAGTAGAAGACTAAAAAATTAGCAACAAGTCTCGTAACGTACCAAACCATGAAATAGCAGCTACGCGGAATGTTTGCTTGAAAGGACATTAGCCATGAATCATGATGATGTTGAAAAGACTTTTTTTTGATCTAATTTCATACTTATTGTCAATTAATTAAAACAGAAAATAGCTAAAAGATTTATTTCAAAAAGAGGAAATTAGTGTAAATAATTAATAATATAGAAAAATGAGACTTTGCCTTTTGTATTAATCCATATGTGATGAATGTTTTATGTGTATACTAGATGGGAAAAAAAGGATTCTATTTGAAATATTCTACAAACCTAAAAACTTAGATATGAATTTTTTTTTAAAAAGGTGGTAATCATCTAAGATTTGGGTACATAAGAGAAAATGAGCGGAATACGAATTTTTTTAATATATTTCAATACCTCAATGATTCTTTCATTAAAAAATTAACATTTGAATCATTTTTTATCTTTTTTCTCTCTCCTCATTATTTTCTCTCATTTTCATCCCACTAATTTTTTTGTGTGCTGGAGCACGCAAATATCGCTTGCAGAATACATAGGTGATGAATGTCTTGCATTCTTTCACCATGTGTCTATGTCACTACTTGGAAATTCTTGAAAATAGTACCATGCTTCCTCCGTAGTCCTTGTGTGCTAATGTGCTTTCGTAGTGTGACTTCATTGTACTTCTTAAAAATAATATTCAACAGTTTTATTAAAAAAAGGAAAAAAAATAAACTGAAGTGTGAAAGCAAGATTTTTTGTAAACATTTATATATTTAATATTTAAAAAATAGAGTAAAATTTATTTTGGGTCCCTAATAAAAATGCGATCCCATCTTCATTCCTTACAAAAAAAGAAATAGTCCTGAGGTCTCAAAATTTTAAAGTGGACTCACTTAGTAGAAATCGTAATCCCACATAAATTCAAAAAATCCATATTAATCACTCAAAATGACTAAAATGGATTCACCTTGAATTTCATATGAATTACGAGACTAGTTTTTTTTGTAAACAACTAAAGTGGGGACCGTCTTTTAATTTTTCATGCTGTTATATTAAAATCTCCAATGTAGAGCAACTCTCCACACTATTGTTGTCAAAATCGATGCTTTACATAGAAACGAAAAGAGATGACAAAATATAAATTGTAGAAATGAGACGAAATGTAAATTTTTTATATTTAAGGACAAGATACAAAATTATATATATAAAATATCACATAAGTTATTGTTCAAAATTTAATGAACAATTTTATATTTAAAAAAATATAAGTCACATAACTATATAAGACATAAGTTTAAAAACATAAAAAAAGAGTTTAACAATTCTTACAATCAAATTTCAAAATATCAAAAGAATAAAGTTTAATCACTTCTAAATTATATTAATTGATTCAAATCAAACACATTATTTTGCATCAATTGCATGTCCTCAATGTCCTATTCTCTTGCTTCTATAACAAGTTCATTTGCAATAAAACATAATAGATTGATTTAAAAGTGACTTTAGCTTGATACTCAAATTTTTCACTGGTGGCTTCACCTTCTTCTTTCTTTGCAACAACGACTTTATGTGGCAGTTTTTTTTTTTTTTTTTTAAATAGCTAAAAGAAGATACTATGCATTTTAATTTGGGAGAAATGGAAATAAAAATTTTTTAAAAAAGAAAAAAAAAGGAAACTGGATTATGAGTTAAAAGTTGACCCGATTTAGTTTTTATTTTTGTATAAGACAGTTCAATTTTTTCGTTTAATTAAAAACATAAAAACCTATGTTTATGTACGGAGTTTCTACCCGTTTGTACTGAAGAAAGTTTTTATTTATATTTTAACACGTATCACTTAAATAAAAACATAAAAATATTTACACTAATTTTTTACAACAATGCTCCACACTTTTAAATCTCTTTTGAGCGTTATCCTCTCTACTCATAGTTCTAACTTAGTTGGGTTAAGTTCTAGGCATTCATACCTAGTCTATGACCTTGGTAAAAGAAGAAATGAGCCTTACCCTCTCTACTCGTAACTCTAACTTAGTTGGGTTAAGTTCTAGGCATTCATACCTAGTCTATGACCTTGGTAAAAGAAGAAAAGAACCCTATATACTCCCATTTAGATTACCAAGAATTTAACCAAGTTGTGCAATCTGCCCAAGAAGTTTGACGGTGATTAATCATCACGCTAAATGTCCTAAAATCACTCTTAGCATTAATTTAATGAAGAGAATGTAAACCTACTAACATTTAAACCAAATTTCAAAGAGGGGACCCAAGTTTGTCCTATCATTTCTAGCTATTTTCATTTCCATAGTCTAAACTATTCCATTAATACCTACATGATGATTTCCTGTGAACATGTTCCCCCGTCTAGTTGTAGACATCAAGATACAAGGTTGTCCAATTCATGATCCCATCAATATATGTCGAGTCATACACAACATAAAATGAGATGCATAGGTTTTGGGAATCCAAAACAGCTCTTAAAATACACAACATTACAAACCAAGGTCCCGTAATATCATTAAGGACCCAAAAAATATTTTAATATATATAATTACAAACCAAACACTTTCCTAATTTAAGGAAACCAAATCAAATCAAAAAAATTTCAAATTAAATTAAATCCAAACAATACAATATTTACAACATAGTTAGTTTACTAAAGCAGTACAAAAAGAATGTAGAATGCAAGCAACATTAATTGAGATCACAGTTGATCAATTCCATTCAATGTGGAGACTTACTTTACTTATTATGAGATGTTTGAGAAGTCTATCGTAGACCATTCAATGTGGGGTACACCCATAAATCAGTACCATCGCAGAAGTCATTGGAGTGGTTCAGATATTAATACAAGTTTTTTATAGTATTTCATAAAAAAGTTGAAAAAAGAAAGAAGAAAGAAACATCGGGGAAGGCAAACAAGTCAACGAGTCAATTCCGCATTCTGTTCTGTTTACAAAATACACTCTGTTTTCACACTTCTGTATTTGTGAGTTGTTGTGTTGATTTTGAGCTAATTGATTTGAGTAAAAGTGAGCAAACATGGCAAGGCAAGAATCATTGTTGTCCTCTTCTTCCTTTAGCTATGGATGGAAATATGATGTTTTTCTGAGCTTCAGAGGCGAAGATACTCGTCACGGTTTCACCGGCTCTCTCTACAAAGCTCTTCGTGACAGGGGAATTCACACCTTCATTGATGATGAGAAGCTTCAAAGAGGAGCGAAAATCACAGCATCACTTGTCAAGGCTATTGAAGAATCAAGGATTGCCATCACTGTGTTCTCTAAGAACTATGCTTCTTCTGCATTTTGCTTAGACGAACTTCTCCATATCCTTCACTGCATCAAGGAAAAGGATCGGTTGGTTTTGCCTGTTTTTTATGACGTTGACCCTTCTCACGTGCGACATCAGAGGGGTAGCTATGAACAAGCACTCGCTGCTCATGAACAGAGGTTTAAGGATGACGTGGAGAAGGTGCAGAAATGGAGGATGGCTCTGCGTCATGCAGCTGACTTGTCTGGCTTTCATTTCAAACAACAAGGGTACGGTTTTATCTTCCTATGTCTTTTTTGTTTCTTTATTTTCCATTTGTCTAATGAATTGGATTTGATGTTAATATGAATCATTTAGTATGATTTCACTCAATAATTTGGCAGGAATGAGAATGAATATGAGTTTATTGGGAACATTGTTAAAGAGGTCTCCAAAAAAATTAATCGCGCTCCTTTACATGTAGCGGATTATCCAGTAGGATTGGAGTCTAAAGTGCTTAAAGTAATCTCACTTCTGAATGTGGGATCTGATGGAGTCCACATGATAGGGATCCATGGAATTGGGGGAATAGGGAAGACAACAGTTGCTCGGGCAATTTATAATGCCATTGCTGATTCATTTGAAGCTTTGTGTTTTCTTGATAATGTGAGAGAAAGTTCAATTAAGCATGGATTAGAACATCTTCAAGAGACACTTCTTTCAAAAATAGTTGGGGAGAAAGATATTGAGTTAGCAAGTGTCAAGGAAGGAATTCCAATAATAAAGCATAGGCTCCACGGAAAGAAGGTCCTTTTTGTTCTTGATGATGTTGACAAAGTAGAGCAGTTGCAGGCAACTATCGGAAGTCCTGATTGGTTTGGTTCTGGCAGTAGAATCATTATTACAACACGGGACAAGCATTTGCTAACAAGTCATGGGGTTGAGAAAACTTATGAGGTAGATGGGTTGAATAATAAAGAAGCTCTTGAATTGCTCGGTTGGAATGCTTTTAAAACTGACAAAGTTGATCCTAGTTATGTAGACATTTTGAAACGTGCAATAACTTATGCTTCCGGACTTCCATTGGCTTTGGAGGTAATAGGTTCCTACTTGTTTGGGAAAAGGACAGAAGAATGGGAATCTGCATTAGATCAGTATGAGAGAATTCCAAAAAAAGAAATCCAAAAGATACTTGAAGTAAGTTTTCATTCTTTGGAGGAATATGAACAGAAATTTTTTCTTGATATTGCTTGTTGTTTCAAAGGAAATGATTTAGCATATGTCAAAAAATTATTGCATGCTCATCATGGTTTCTGCCCAGAATATGGTATTGGAGTGTTGATTGAAAAATCTCTCATAAATATTAATGTATTTGGTCATGTAACATTGCATGACCTGATAGAGGACATGGGTAAAGAAATTGTCCGACAGGAAGCACCAGAGGAGCCTGGAAAACGTAGTAGATTATGGTTCCCCGATGATATAGTTCAAGTTTTAGAAGATAATAAGGTATGACTGATACAGATGGTTTGGTTTTCCAAATTTTACCTATATTTATCTCTTTTGATTATTATGTGCTAGACACCTAGGTCACTATATTTATACCTCTATTTACAATCTTTTGTTGACAATGTTATTTCACTGTCTGTTGTTTTCCTTTTATGATACTTAATATTATATAAATTTTTACCTTTTTTGTTTCCTTTTATTTCTTTTGTTAACAGTGTTATTTCACTGTCTGTTATTCTTCATACATATATATGCATGTCTTACGGTTGACCTGTGTTTTTGTCTTTAAAGGGAACTAATAGTATTCAAATAATAATGCTGGATTTCCTCAAATTTGAAGAAGTAGTTGAATGGGATGGGAATGCCTTCAAGGAGATGAAAAACCTTAAAACACTTATTATTAGAAAAGGTTATTTTTCTGAAGGTCCCAAACATCTTCCAAATAGTTTGAGAGTACTAGAATGGTGGAGATATCCTTCACCATCTTTACCGTCTAATTTTCACCAAAAGAAACTTGTGATACTGAAGCTACCCCAAAGTCACTCTATTTCAATTCATTTGCTCATGTCAAATAAGGTAAATATATTAAGTTCTTTTCCTTGGTCTTTTTATCAATATCATTCTATTATAATTCATTTGATTCCCTCTCTCTCTCTCTCTCTCTCTTGTGGCAGGAGTTTGTGAATATGACAGTTCTGAATTTTGATTACTGTCAATGTATAACAGAGATACCAGATGTGTCTGGTGTCCCAAATTTAGAAGAATTATCATTTGGACATTGTGAGAATTTAATTAAAATTCACAAATCAGTTGGATTCTTGAATAAACTTAAAATCTTGGACGCTGAAGGTTGCAAGAAGTTTAAGAGTTTTCCACCCATCAAGTTGACCTCTCTTGAAGAACTCCATCTATCATGTTGTCCTAGTCTTGAGAATTTTCCAGAAATCTTAGGAAAGATGGAAAAAATAGCAAAGCTTAAATTAAGTGAAACTACCATAAAAGAACTGCCAGTTTCAATTCAAAATCTCACTCAGCTTAAAGGTCTAATGCTGACCCGTTGTGGAGTTGTAAAGTTACCAAGGAGCATTTCGATGATGCGAGAACTTAAATTGAGTGTTCAGGAATGTAAGGGATTGCTTATATCTAAGCAGGACGAAGGCGATGCACAAGTGAGCTCATTGGTGTTTGAGAACACCATTGTTGTTAACCTTTGGGAATGCAATATATCAGACGAATTCATTCGAAAAGGTCTCCCTTTGTTTGTCAAAGTGAAACGATTAATGCTAGCAAATAGTAATTTCATAGTTCTTCCTGCATGCATCAAAGAATGTATCTTTTTGACAGAAATTGATTTATATTGTTGCCAGAATTTTCGGGAAATTGGAGGGATTCCACCCAACTTAGAAACATTCTCTACAAGAAAGTCTCTACAAGAAAGTGCACATCCTTGAAAGATTTAGACCTCACACTATTTCCTGAATGTTTGACGACACTTTTTTTGTATAAGTGCGAGAATCTTCAAGAAATTAGAGGGATTTCACCGAACATGAGAAGTTTGCATGCAACAGAATGCCCATCTTTGACTTCCGAGTGTAGAAGAATGTTATTGAATGAGGTTCTTGTTTTCTTACGTTTTTAATTTGATAAATCATATATTTAACATTGACTCAAACTATACACATGTTGCCAAATGTATGAATGAATTATGTCTAACAGGAACTGCACAAGGAGGGTGGAGACAAAGTGTTTCTTTTGCCAGAAACAAGGATTCCAGAGTGGTTTGGGTATAGTATCAATGGATCATCAATTTCTTTCTGGTTTCGTAACAAGGTTCCTGCTATATCTCTATGCTTTGCTTTTCGACTCAAAGGAAATTATGCCACTTATAGGCTCAATATTGAAGTCAACGGCATTTCTGATATAGGAGAGGATTTCTATTCAGATTGCAAAGCAGGGGATTATACAGTTCTTTTTGATATGAAACAGGAAAAATTCTTACTTGATACTGTTCTTCTTGAAGAAAATAAATGGAATTATGTGGTGTGTACTATATCAAAGAGGAGCAAAGAAAACAAAAAAGCTTTGGTTATCAAACAAAGTGGAATCCATGTATTTGAACAAGGAAGCAGCATGGAGGACATTCAATTCACCGATCCACTGTTGCTGGAAGAAGAGCATGGATTGGTGGACATGAAGATTCTCAAAGACAATTTATGCAGCACCTAAATAATTTTGCTTCATTGCCTTTTTCGAAAACAATAAATTCTCCAGCATTGAAGAATATTGTGAATTGGCATTCAAATTCAATGGTATCAAAGTTGAGAAGTAGCACTCCAAATTTCCAAGGTAAATACATATGTGCCATTTTTTTCTTGGTATGCTTTCACTATTTCCGAATTTACTGGCCCTATATATTTTCGTTCTCATCGAGTTCCAGGGCTAGATTGCTCATGTGGTGCATTATTAATTTTTGATAGAAGAAAGTATAAATAATTCAATTAGTTTGTTTAAGTAATCTAAGAGAAATTGAATTCTATAAGATTATGAATTAGTATGGGTATATAAGGAAATAATATTTGTAACTTTGATTTAACTTGTATGTTTATAAGCTATTTGGCTTCTTAATTTGGAAAAAGTTACTCAACTTTATCATCTCAACAGCCCGTGAAATTGTGTCCAGAAAGAGGAAAATAGGTATGTCAAATGTGGACATTGACAATGAAGCCTGTGAACCTTGTTCTCCTGCTCCTTCAAAAGTGCCTTTGAATTCAGCAGTGTCATACTCTGCTAGTGGTGCTGCCAGTGAACAAGGTAAACAATTTGGTGGTATTTATTTCTGAAGAGATTGGATTTTCTAAGCATAAGATGCACATTGAGATTCAGATTCAGATTTTATTTATTCAATGATTGTCAAAATTACTATTTAAATCAACAAGCAGGCCAATTATAATGTCAATTCCACAAAAACTCATTTTCTTGACAGTACCTCTTCCTAGATTACCTAACTTAATTTTCCGCATTGTGGAATTTATTCTTTGAGCTAATTCCATATGAATTAAACTATAGTGTATTTACTACTGGTGAAATAAAAGCAAATTACTAAAATGAACATTTCAGACTTACATGTATTCATCATAAAAGGATGACTAGTCAAACTTACAAATTGAATGTCTCACCATCTGAAATTGGTAAGTTTACCATTACCAAAGCTTCTGCTGCTTGCATTTTATCTCATACTCTAAATTGCCATACTTCAGGAGAATCTTCTTCTCAAAACCCAGGTTTTGGTTAGACTCAAAATATTGAGGCCCCAAGTCCCCATTCATCATGCAGCAAGTACACATAAAAACGTGTTGCAGTGTTGCCAACCACAATTGACCTGTCTTTCAGGAATAAAATTGAGCCAAGTCAAGATGATGTAGAAACAGAAGCATTTTATGCTTCTCCTGAAGATGAGGTCAATGTTCTTTCAGGTTTGCAAGATAAATCGGCCACCACTGCTCCAAATAAAGAGGCCAGGGAAGCACTGGAAATAGTGCAAGACTTCATCTCCAATGATGCTTCAATTTTTCTGCATACTGAGCAATGTAGTGTCTTGAAAACTAGGAATATGAGGAGAAATGAGAACATTATATCAGAAGTTTCAAGGATGCTTAATCATTGGAGTAGGGATTACATTGAAGTAAGTAGGAAAATTGTGTCCACTGCATCTGAGTTGCTGATAAATTAGAAGATGATCTGGAAGATAAAATGAACCACTTCAGCGGAAGAGGAAAATAGGTATGTTAAATTTTGATTCTCTAACCATAAGTTGCACATTGCTTATCAAATTTTGATTTTATTATTATTATTATTATTATTTTGCTAAAATTACTATTCAATCTAATAAGGCAGGTCAATTGCAATATCAATTCCGCTAAATAAGTTTTATGTCCTGTTGAGTGTTGACTGTATCTTTCAGTAGAATTACCTAAATTAATTTGCCGTGTTGTGCAATTTATTCTTTGGGCTGATTTCATATAAACGCAACTGTAGTGTATTGACTACTGGTAAGATAAAAGCAAATTAATAAAATGAACATTAGAGACCTACATATATTCTGCATACAAGGACGGTAAGTCAAACTTATAAATTGAATATATCACCATCTGAAACAATATTAATTTGTAAGTTTATCATGACTACTACTACTGCTTATATTATTATTTTTTATATTTTAATTTCTGTATAATTATACTATTCTGTTACTTGCATTAAAACTCATACACATACTCTGAATTGTCATGTTTCTGCTAGGAATCTTGTGCTAAGGACCTATTATAGGACGAAGTACAGGGGATCACTTGCTCACAAGAATGCTTGAGTCAGCAAGGAATATTAATTAGTTAGCTTTGAGAAATCGGTTGTGACCTGTGGGGGAACCAACGTGGTTGGTGCTTGCAATGTTTAAAGCATCTTTGGAACTAGAGAAGCCTTGGGAGAGTCCGGTGTCTCTCTAATTGCACTAGGAATTATCTTTGCTTTTATCGTTTTATTACTCTCGAATCATTCTTCAATTTTTGTATATCCTTCATATTCTGTATTGGTGTTTGTACTAACTTGCTGATCTCTTATTGAATCAGCTATCTTAATATCAATTCCAATATTGTGTTCATATTCCTCGTCTTGGAAAAATATCAAGACCAGATTTCATGTATTGGAGGAAAAGATGAGGACATTTTTTAACACCTATAACTTAAATATAAATAAATCAAAGGAGAAGACATACTATAACTGATGCACCCGAGCTCAGGGACTTAGATTGGGCTTTTCCATACTAATTGAAGGGTGATTCTAGGATCTGGCAGAAGCAAGAATGTTTAGATCTTTGCAATTCCAGCAGTTTTTTCTATTTGGGTATAATTTTTTTTATAATTGGTTGAAGCTACAAGGCTGGATTGTTTCCATCTTTTTATGTAGTTGCTGCATTGGGTGAATTCTTTTTTCCCTTGGGCATCTTTAATACCTGTTAATTCGATTAAATGATTGTGGAAGCTTTATCTTTTTCATCCATTCAAGCTGTTTATATAGCTTTGCTGCATGAGTTGTCACTATGATACGACTAAACTCTCATAGAGAGGAAAAGGAATCGAAAAGACAGAATATTATTCAAGTTCTACTAGTACAATGCTTCTTGTCCACCTTTTATACAATTTTCCCTAACTAACTCACGTGGCTTAAGCCAACTCACACAATCTCTAACAACCTTTACATCTTAGTTACTATTGATATTCCACAACCTATCATGCTACATAATAGTCATGTAGCCTCACGGACTCCTTCCTTGTACGGTTAGACCTTCTATTCGTATCAACTGCCCCCTGGACAACTTCAACCTTGTCCTCAAGGTTTAAAGAAGGATAGGCCTTGCGTATATTAGTTGTTGTTTCCCAAGTTGAATCTTCCGGAATTGATTGGGACCACTGAACCAAAAATTGTTGTTGTGGACGCCCCCTAGCTGACCTCATCCGTGAAGACAAAATTGCAACCGGTTGCTGTATGGGCCTGTTATCTGTGGTTTGAGGTGGAAGACTTTCACATTGAAACTGAGGTGAAGCACGAAACGGCTTGAGTGCAGAAATGTGGAAGGTGGGGTGGATCCTAGAGCCTTCAGGGAGCTTAACTTGGTAAGCTACAGAGCTGATAACCTTCTGCACTGGAAAAGGCCCTTAATATCTCTTAGCCAATTTGTGGTTCGAACGTTTCAACACAGAAATCCGGCGGTAAGGTTGGAGCTTCACGAGGACTAGATCACCAACTTCTAGTTTTCGATCTAAACGATGTCTATCTGCCTGAAGCTTCATTCGATTTTGTGCCCGTGATAAGTTCAACTTCAAATTTGTCAACAACTCATTACAGTGCTGCAACATGGAATCTAAAGCTTCGAGTTTAACCATCCCACGTGGGTAATGAGGGATGTGGGGAGGCAATCTGCCATACAATGCTTGGAATGGTGTCATCTTGATAGAAGAATGGACTGAGGTGTTGTAGTGAAGCTCAGCCCAACACAACAAGAGTGACCAACGTTGATTCTCCTCTGAACAGAATGCTCTCAGATATTGCTCTAAATACCGGTTGGTGACCTCTGATTGCCCATCAGACTGTGGGTGATAAGCTGAAGTAGCACTGAGCTTTGTTCCACTTAACTTGAACAGTTGCTTCCAAAACTGGCTGAGGAAAATGGAATCACGATCCGAAACCAGTGAACGTGGGAAGCCATGAAGACGCACCACCATATTAGAGAAAAGTTGAGCTACTGTCGAAGCTGTATACGCAGCTTGGAGGGGTCCAAAATGGGCAAACTTTGTTAAACGATCAACAACCACTAATATTGCACTGTACCCGTTTGAACAAGGAAGGCCAGTCACAAAGTCCAATGTTAAATCCTCAAACACAGCTTCCGGAATAGGAAGTGGTTGCAAGAGTCCCAATGGAGCTTGTGTAGAAGTCTTAATTTGCTGACATACGATGCACTGCTGGACAAATGCCTTGACATCATCTCTCATTTTAGGCCAATGAAAAGTAGCAGACAATCTGCAGAATGTTTTCAAGGTACCAGCATGGCCTCCTAATTTTGTAGAATGAGCCTCTTCAAGTAAGTGGTCCTTTACTTTCGATTGAGAACCCAACAAATATTTACCCTTGTAAAACAGAATACCATCTCTACATAATAAGGATGCATCCACATCATCTCCATTCTGCAGCTTTTGATGGAGCAGTAACAAGTCAGGATCAGAATTATTTTCTGCTCTGATCACAGTGAGCAAATCAACCTCAGGTTCGGACCATAAAGTGCATAAAAAACTAACTTCCTCATGCTGTCTTGACAATGAATCAGCAACAACATTTGAAATTCCTGGTTTATACTCAATTCTGAAACTGTACCCCAATAACTTGATAACAAACTTGTATTGCTCTGGAGTCAACACTGTTTGTTGAGACAATTGCTTGAGGCTTTGGTGATCCGTTCGAATTATAAACTCAGCACCAAGCAAATAATGCCGCCACTTTTTCACAGCTTCGGCTATGGCATAGAGCTCCCGAATATAGGTAGAAGCAGCAGCCATTCTCGGTCCAAGCTTCTTACTATAAAAGGAGATGGGTTTCCCATGTTGAAGTAACACAGCCCCAACACCAGATTGGGATGCATCAGACTCCACTATAAATGGAGATGTGAAATCTGGAAGTGCCAAAACAGGGGTGGATGACATAGCTTCTTTCAACTGCTGAAAAGCAGTCTCAGCCTCTAGCTTCCACAAAAACTTGTCATTCTTTAACATGTCAGTTAACGAGGCAGCAATTGCAGCATAATGATGCACAAATCGACGATAATACCCTGTCAATCCTAAAAATGCTCGCAGCTGTCTAACAGAAGAAGGTTTGGGCCATTCCAGCATTGCTGACACCTTCTTTGGATCAGCTTTCACACCCAACTCAGAAACAATGTGACCCAGATAAGATATTTCAGATACAGCAAAATCACACTTACTTAGTTTCACAAAAAAACAATTCTGAATTAAACAATGCAATACCTGGGTGAGGTGGTTGACATGCTCCTCCAAGGATGAACTATACACAAGGATATCATCAAAGAAGACGATAACAAATTTCCTAAGAAATGGTTGAAAAATCTTATTCATCGTCGATTGAAAAGTGGCGGGAGCATTCGTTAAACCAAACGGCATTACCAGGAACTCGTAATGGTCGTCATGAGTGCGGAAGGTTGTTTTATGGACATCTTCGGGAACCACTCTAATTTGATGATACCCTGCACGAAGGTCCAATTTGCTAAAGATCACCGCTCCCAGCAACTCATCTAGCAACTCCTCAATTGTGGGTATGGGAAAACGGTCCTTTACCGTGATTGAATTCAAGGCCCTATAATCGATACACATGCGCCATGAGGAATCTTGTTTCTTCACCAACAGAACAGGGGAGGAGAAGGGGCTCTTGCTGTATTGAATAAAACCAGATGACAAAAGTTCTGAAACTTGTCGTTCTATTTCACCTTTCTGTTGGTAAGGGTAACGGTAAGGTTTCACGTTCACCGGTTGGGAATCCTTGCTCAAATGAATGCAATGATCCATTCCTCTAAAAGGAGGTAAGGATTTTGGAATTGCAAACACCAATTCACAACGCACCAAGACCTGCCACAATTGGAAAGGAACTTTATCTCTGTAAGTTTCCAATTTGGAAGTCAACTCTCCAGTAGCTATGTTCCCTGGATGGCCCTCCAAAATGCAACACCTTTCTGCAATACTGTGTTGTGAAACTCCATCTGAAATTCCACATAATTTCACACAGCCACCTTGCCATGCAAATTCCATCGACAGGTCACCATAATCATGAGTGACTCTCCCTAGCTGGCTCAACCAACACATGCCTAAGATTACACTTAACCCACTAAGATCAGCAACCCACAGGTCCACCACAAACTCTAAGCCTTGTATCAGCAGTGAGACATTAACACATTTTTTCTCACAAATCATATACTCACCATTGCCCATAAAGACCTTCATTCGAGTTACACGAGACATGGGCAACTGTAAGTCATCAGCCAACTGTTTGCGGATGAAATTATGTGAGCTTCCAGAGTCAATCAACACTGCCACTTCCTGCTTCCTAATTAAAGTTGACAGTTGCAATGAACGTGGATTAACTGATGCTGCCAATGTGTGTAACGCTGCATGAGTGACATTCTCATCTGTATTCGCCACCTGCCACACAACCTCCTCCTCTGGTTCCTGTGGAGGATCATCTGATTCGCCAATCAACAGTAACATTCGCGCCTTACATCTATGACTTGCTGTCCATTTCTCATCGCAAGTATAGCAAATACCTAAATCTCTCTTGCGTTGCAATTCTTCTGGTGGTAATATTTTTATGGGTAACGACGAGAGTGACGAAGACTGTAATGCTAAAGGAGCTGAAGTATTACCTTGAGTCAGAACAGCGGTAGACGTACTCGGAAGCAGTTTGTCAGTGGAGTTTTTCCAAGAAGGTAATGGTGAAGAACGATTGGGAACGAACTTCTTAGTTGATGAATTGAACGAGGACCGTAGCTCATTAAAATGAGAGTCATACGACATTGCTAACTGCATTGCGTGATGCAACGAAGTAGGCCAATGTAATTGTATAGCTCCTCGTAACTCTGGTTGGAGGCCAGAAACGAAGAATTCCATCAAAAGATCATCTCCAAGATTCGTGACCTGGTTCATCAATCGTTCGAACTCCTTCATGTAATCAGACAAAGTCCCTGTCTGCGTGAGCTTGGAAAGAACCCCACGCACATCACGATGGTTAGGAAAAGCGAACCTCTGTTTTACTGCGACACAAAATTCTGGCCATGAATTCACTGTACCACTGCCATAGATCCATTGGTACCACGGTGCGGTTGCTCCCTCCATTTTCAGGCCTGCAAGGTGCACCTTCAACGCTTCGGGAATCTGCTGAAGACGAAAATAAAGCTCTGTCTTGAAAATCCAATTGTTTGGATCGGTGCCATTGAATGCCGGAATCTCCATCTTCACTTGCTTACAAGGATTTTTCGTGTCCGGAA